ATACGGACCTATTACTCAGCCCTCTTCCACTTATAACATGGTTACCCCATTATCGTGATTTCTTAGATATCAGGATGGATCGATGTTCAAGATTAAGTTCTGGTGAGAAGCCGTTACCAGTAGAGTCCGATCTGTGTCGGGTGTGTGACAATTATCCATCTCAGACAATAGATGAAGGGTTGCACAAGATCATAGATCGATTGAAGTTAGACATCAACACTGTTCAGTGATCTAGAGTTTAAGCGTTCGCATATGAGATCGAAGGTCCTTGGCTCAAGTCCCGCGTGTGGGTGCTCGCTGCTGAGGAGTTCCGTACTGTGACGAAACGACCATCCAATACTTCCAGGTTATGAATAGTGGTCTAGCTTAGATCGACTCATGAATTCAACTATTAGAAGTTCTTAAATATGTTAATTTGTAATCAGGTGTTTACTCTATTATTGTGATTTATAAATCCGAACTGTATAATTAAAAGTCTCCTTTCTGAGATGTTCTCTGTTCTAGCTATCGGGCAAGTGAATGTGAGAAACTGCGTTCATTTAGTGTTACTCTCGGCTGTTATCTCACTATTATCGTGTCACCAATTATTCGAAGGTCTATGGTACTAGATCTGTAATCTAGATGAACCAATCAATACTCAGAGTAGATCAATACAACCCTCCTTTCCTACAGTCAAATCACACGGGTCTCCAAAATAACTAACATGATATCTGTTTAGTTTTACAGTTATATCAATGTTAAGTCTTTTTTCCTCCTATCGGCAGTATTATAAGTCCGGTTAGTTAATGTGATGTAGCAATTCAGGCCAGTGTACACTTGTCTCATGTCTTATTTTAATGGTGACTTACCCTCTAAATTACAAGTGTTTCAATCAACATTTCCAAAATAGTCACTTGATAGTACTCACGTGAACAGTATTCTTCTATTCCTTTCTGTCAACTCCCTAACCCTTCCTTACAAGTAACTGTTGGCTGGACTTTGTGAAAGGATTTGAAGGACTTACAGTTTACTACTATAAAAAGTTTGTTTGCTTCTTACCTACCTTCGCACTATAACTTCATGAAGCTTACGTAGTCTGGTTTTCCATGTATCAAATTACCAAGTATCCGTTTATCTCCTTACTGGTCAGTTTGTATAAAATTTAACGGATAAAAAGCATAGAAGCTATTTATTACGTGTCGTGCTTGGTCATGCACCCTAATTGTAGTCGACCCTACATTATCGATAGTTTTTAGTAAATAATGTCACTAGAATCTCAGTAGAAAAAACACTTTATTTTGTGCTTTAATACTGCATCCTTCCCTCGTTGAAACGAAACATCGATTTTCATTCTCTATTGTAAGTTCTTAACCCATTTTATTGATCGAAATAGTATTTCTGAACTTCGGACTATAGATTTAACACAATCTATAGGTTCTTATCAAATTGGATTCCTCTTTATCGAGCGATTTACGTGTCTGTCTATTAGTAACTTATTCTGGATAGTCTTCTTGGGATCTCACTCTCGTGAGACGATCTAGCAATTCCCACAAGCAAAATACATGTATTTACCAAAATAGATTCCAAATTAGTAAAAGTAGTAACCATATTAATGGTAATATAAAACAGGCGTCGAAAGCATGGATTCCTAGAATATGAAGCTTTTTTAAGATTATCGAAAAAACTAGGGTCTAAAGGTAAACAAATAGCGGGTGCACCTGCTCCGTTTCGAACAATTCTGGGCCATGCTCCTAACCATTTGTTTTTATAATTGCGCTGACCGCGATCAAATAATCTCTGCATCTGACATGCCTCAACTCAAATGTTAATGACTTCCTGGACTAATGTCATGTCTTAATTTGGTCGCAGCTAGCTTTCTTCCTACACCAGCCATCACCTCTCATAGAGGGAGAGGGTAGTTGGAAATAATATACATCCCAGACACCTCAGTTCGTGATGACTCACTGTCTCACCAACCAATTTACTATCCTTACTTAGTACCATACTCCTAACTTGGACATCGCTCACTCAATGTTCCGAAAATGAGTGTGGCTCCGAAGACATCTGTAACCAAATACTACTGTTCTTCAAGTATCCTCTACTTCTAGATGATAAGTTTCATAGTCAGAATGTAGGGCAGTGGGAACTGCTGTGTAGCACTGTCCTTCTTTATATTTGAGAGACAGATGGACGTATCGCTTTAATCACAATTAATCGATTACTGGGTGGTGATCAATGTCATGCATGTCAAGTCCTTCTTAGTGCTGATCGAATTCTATCGATCAAGTTGCAATGTGGCCACTAGTCTAGGTGGCTCAACACTGCGTGCACTATTTTGAGATAAGATGGTGGTTAGAGGTGGTCAACAGGAAACCCTTCACCCGGGTTTCGTGCTACTTGGCACTCGTCAGCAATATGTACCTGTAATCTTGAGGGAACTGGTGCTCTCTGATGAATTCGATCCTATTTCCTGTTGACCACCGTCAACGACCATCTTATATCGCTTTAACCTCGATAATTTTGACAAATTGTACAACCTATTCAATACATTGGATCCATATTTTAAAAAAAGTTCATAGGTTACGGATATTTTTTTATTGATTAATTAATTTGTGTTCATGTACATGTTGTTGTATCCCCTGGCGAATTATGAATCATAAATATGCGGTCCATTTATGGACAAATGTAATACGCCTATTCCTATTGGATAGTTGTTAAATAAGTGACTAAATCTGAGGTCTATTTATGGACAAATACAATATGCCCATTCCCTATTGGATAGTTGTTAAATAAGTGACCTAATCGTTTCCGTGTTCCTCTTATCATAACCTTTATTTTGACCTTGGAACTATTATTATTGATTACTTTCCCCCTAGCTACAGCCACATTGGCCAATTACTGTACAAATGTTATTTTTCTATTTTTGATATATGTGGTCTGTTTGGTTAGTATATATAACCCAGTATGCTTGTAAATAATGATTCATATTGCTGAGTCTGTTATTTGTGTTCTGGACTTAATGGGCTGGGCTAGGCAGATAGGAAGGACCGAATAGCACCCAAGACTGTTCGTACGTAATTTTCTGTATCATTGAACGTTTATATATATTATAAAGGATCCAGAAAACTATACGTTATAACACATGTGTGTGCGTGTGTATGTGCATGTAGACTAAAGATATACATCAGATATAAATACACATAGGCACATGTACACGCACACACACGCTTATACTAATGTAGTTCATAATTAAATATTAAACAAATAAAGAATCATTAATGATAAATAAACAAATTTTGTTCATCTCCCCCCTCTCTTAAAAAAGAAGAGAAAAAAAAAAAACAAACATTTAACAAGGAATAAAAATAAGTTGGTAACAAAATGACGATCACACATTTACAAGCCAAAAATTGTGATACAAAATAAAAAAAGAAAAGTAAGGAGAAGAAGCATAAAGAATGAACTAAACTATAGAACCTGTTACTAAGTGACTTCAATAAAAGCCTAATTATACAAAATGATATATATATATGCATATGTATGTTCTTTTATACTATATCACTTTATATTATATTGAATCAATTATTCAATAATTAGACTAGAATATGGATACAAAATTAATCAATATATTGTATCTATGTATATATATAGAAATATTTGTATTTAAGCGTGTGTGTATGTATGTATGTTAGTTATAATAAATGTATGCATGTGTGTATACTGGTGGGCGGCCTATGCTCCTCCTCCACGAGGGGTAACAGGCGTAAGTAAGTAGCGTGTGTATACTTATATATATATATATATATATATATATATATATATATATATATATATATATATATACTTATTCATATCGGATACAGTTGAATGGAGAATATTAGTTAGCCGCTTATGCTCCTCCTCCTCTATGAAGGGTAACAAGCTTAAGTAAGTAGGTAAGTAAATAAAGGAATAAATAAACTCACAATACTTATTTATACATGATTATATATATTTAGAAACATTTATATATGACTATACTACTTACTCTACTCAAATTTACAAATATATACTGATACTGAGGGGGGGGGAAATAAACAAACAAAACAAAGAATTGAAGTATTTATTTTAAATAATAATGAAAAAAAAACAACTGTCAATATAAGTAATATGGATCAAAGAAGTTTGTTTTTTTGTTTTTGCTTGTTTGTTTGTTTGTTTTAATTCATAATTCCAAATGGTTATAAAAGAAAGAACATTCAATTACAAAGATCAATATTAGGAAACAAATCATATATCCATATATGTATATATATATAGATTGGACATCTTGTACAAAACTTGGCACAATCATGTATGTATTCTTTTTTTGTTTCTAATTACAAGAATGTGTATTTCTATGTAGAGTAGTAGTAATAGTAGTTATAGCAATTATAAGATAAATGTGAATACATGTCAAAGCCAAAGAAGAAGTGTGTGTGTGTATATGAGGAAACAGAAAAAGAGATATGTAACAGGTTGCGTCAAATAAAATAAAACGAAAGACAAACAAACCATAGATATACATAAACACATACACATACATAGATACACCAAGAAGAGGATCTAATCGACAATGAATGATAACCAATAATGATACATTATGTATTGTATATTTTATTCACAGTATACATTATTATAATAGTCCATTCACTGAACTTGATCATCATGATGATGATTAGTGTTGTGTTTCATTGTCGATTGTTCAGAATAGTAGTAGTAGTATAAGTAGTACAAGTAGTAGTAGTAGTATAGATTTTGGATAATAATCAAACTAAGATGAATTCACAGAAAGAAGAAGTAAATACATTTAGTATATTTAATGAACATACCCAGATATTAGTAATTTTGATGTATATTTGTTTAAATAAATAATTAGTGTATGTATGTGTGTGTGTGTTTAATACAGATTAGTAACTAATGAAAGACAAGTAAATCTATGGAACAAAAGAAAAGGGAAAAAAACAATCAATAGTAACTATTGATTGAAAGGTAATTCATTGTCATGGTAATATACTATTCCCATAAGTTGATGTTACCGATGATGATGATACTGAGGATGATAATAATTGTGTAGTATCTGGATTTGTATATTGCATCAAGTAGGCTAGTGTAAGAGAGGTTAAAGAATATGAAAACAAAAAAAAAATTAATAAAGGAACTAACTTAGGTTATGAACAGTTGAAAAAAAGAACCTAAGAAGTAATACAGGATAGTTGTTTCGTTTAAGACTTTAGAGACAGCAATATTCTTACAATTCTTTTGTAGGAATAAACTCAATGATGTTCAAGCAAGAATGTTATCTTATGAAGTTTCAAACTAAGTGGAAACAGTTGTCCAGTCAGTCAGTCACAACGTAGAACTTCGTACGTACGTACATCAGTTCGAGTTGCCATACCACATTAGCACAGAGATGCAGTTGTCCATTCAAATCCCATAGTGCTAGAAGTAGTAAGAGTATGAGCATTATGTGAAAGATTAGGGTTTGAAGATGTTATTGAAGGAGTATAATCCAATGAAATAAATTTGGAAAGAGAAAAAAGAAGCGGACATGAAGAATTGAGAAGATTAGAATTTGGGAGAACACAAAATGTGGATGCACTTTCGCTATTGCAAGCGATTTTGAGCCATGTCATTCAAGGTCTCTAACCATCGATTGCTATCATCTCGTGGATCCCAACCAGGTAGTCTACACCTACCAACATGGCTCAGTCCACTTGTCAGTGACTACATGGATTTGTGCCAAGTCTTGGTCTGGCCACTCCTAGCTTTCTTCCAACCTACTCCTACACCATGAAAGATTGCATGTCGGGGCAGTCGGTGGTTGGGCATACGTAACACGTGTCCCAGCTTAAAACATGTACACATTCCTTATTGTTTTTCCTCAGTGTTATCTGTGACAACCTAATCAAATAAATTTTTTCAACCAACTATATAACTATCGATAAAAAATCTTGCCCTTCTGTATTTGTTTTAACTGACAAAAAAGATATCTAATCATGGATATTATGAACTGATTTAAGTTAGACCACCAATAAAAACCTGAAAGCATTGGATGACCATTTTATCATAGTATGGGACTCATAAGAAGTACACATCCACGATCCCGCATGTGAAACTCAAATCCAAGAACTTCGCTCTCACGCGCCAACCTCTACACCATTAAGTCAACATCCAACGGTGTTATTGTTTAACCTCAATCAATCTACAAAATTGTGTGGTCATCTTTCATTATGTTCAGTGAGTAACTATCTCACACTCGACACGGACTGAATTCCCTGGTCATGGTGTAGTGAACAGAACACTGGTTGGGGACAATCGAATGTCTTTAAGCAAACATTACAGACTATCTCGGTAAATTCTGATAACCAAACAATGAACAGTCAATTTGCAAATTAACAACCAATTGTTTCAATCTTCACTGTTTCTTCTCTAATTCCATTGCTCATGTATTTTCCATACGATTGCGCTTCATTTCCATTCTTTCCTCATCGGTCTTCTGCCAAAATACATTCTATGTCTGACCCACACCATATACTACTTATATGGATATAAGTAGACCACACCACAATGGTTCTTTACTAGAAATGTGGAAATTCGCTCTCAAAGCTAGTTACCAGTGAGTCCCATACTAGGACAAAGCAGTCGTCCATTGCTTTCAGGTTTTCAGTGGTGCTCTAAGATAGATCAGTTTGTGATTTCAATGAAATTTAACAATTTCCACAACCCTATACTGACTATTAATAGATTGTTTTCTTCCTAAGTAAATACTATTATCCTTTCATGATTGGGCTCCTACCAGAATATTCGCAACTACCGAACTGGCTGAAATAAAAAGTCAATGACTTCACAGACTAATATTATATATTGATTTGACCACCCCTTGTTTATTTTTCTAACTTGGTTCTATGACACCCGAAATTCTGTCGAAATAGTTGACTTATGTTATGCATGTCATAAATACTGGTACCGGACACGTTCAAAATTCAACATAATTCTGTTGTTATCAAAAGGGGTTTTTGTAGAGATTTAGTATTTTCATAGTTAAAAGCGTAAGTCAATTGAGAGGTAAATCCAGGAGTTCTAGTGAGAAGCAGTGACCAGTGGAGTTCAAAACACATCTGTTGTGAGATGGAAACTCACTGAAGACAATTGGTGAACGGTTTCTCAAATTCGTGGATTGGTTGGATGCCGGCCGACTCAGTTGTCTGTCGGTTAAGTTCTCTGGCGCGAGACTGGCATGCCTTGAGTTCGAATCTCGCGAGTGTGGGATCGTGGATGCGCACTGCCACTGAGAAGTCCCACGATAGGACGAAACGACCGTCCAGGTTTTCCATGGTGCTCTAGCTTCAATTGACTCACACTTTCAACTATAATTCTATTGATTATACTATTCTATTCTATACTTACCTGCAGATAATTTCAATGGATCTAATCTTTCCGGATTTAAAGTTACATTACCAGCACCACCACCATTATTATGATTAAATGATTGAAAATTTTGTACATTTGAAAGATTAGTCCCATAATTTTGAAAGAATTGTGGATTAAAAAATCGATTATTAATTGTACCATCCAATATACCTGAATTTGATGGTGACATATTTGAAGAGGATAAATTAGTTACTTTACTGATAGAATTACCATTACTATTCAAATGAGTAGTATTGATAGGATTAGTAGTATTGTTCATTAAAGAATTCTGATTAAAATACGATTTAAAAGGTTCCGGTATACAAGAATATGATGAAGCATTTGATGCTAACGTACTTAAAGCAGCAACTAAGAAATCGGGGATACCATAATACATACTACTAGTATTATTATTATTAGTAGTAGTAGTATTCAAATCTGCACTCTGATTTGAAGTACCAAATGGATGATGATGATTAGACGGAATATATTGTTTGGAATCATTGAATGGTTGTGATGCTGTAGACATTTCATACATGGATAATGACGGTGTAGATGAACATGGCATAGTGTTTATAGGACTGTTATTAACAACGCTACCGGAAGAAGTAAGCGTTGGCATATTTGAATATGTCGAGAGATATAATGAAGATGGTAAACCGTTAGTTAATGAGTTTATGGTAGATTTCGATTCATCCTCTTTATTACTATTATTAAATGATAATGGCATAGATTGTGTGTATGTAGATGAAGTTGGCAATTGAAGATTCCATGCATTTTGAAGAAGGAACGATGGGATCATATTGTTATTAGATAGTGATGTATTCAATTCTTGCTGATTAACTGTTAGATTCTTCAATTTCGACATGGTACTCATATTAGTAGCAGTAGTAGTATGACACATTGTTAAATTTATCATATAATCATTGCTTAATTCACTTTTTATTGATTGTTGATCTAAACTACCATAATGTTGGGTACTACCACTACTGTAACGAGAATAGTTCATCACTGTAGAATTGTTATGATTATTATCGATTTTCATATTTGGATAAGACAATTTATTGGATAATTGTTGTTGTCCCCCTTTATGTTTACTACTGAAATCACGTGGAGTAGTTGATGATGTTGGAGTTGTTCGCTTCGAGTAGGGAAATGAATTACCATTGTTAGTTTGATGATTTTGTTGCTGTCCATGATGATGATGTTGATGTTGTTGATTAGATCGGGAATTTAAATTACCAACAATATCTAATGAACCATGAGGCACGGATACTGTATGCGCTGTTACTGTACGTACATTATTCAATGAAGTGATATCAATAATTGGATTATTATTGTTATTAGATGACATGGATGTAGATGAACGTTTTTTACTGCCAGAATGTTTATTCATTTCATTATTCCGTTGTTTACTAACGGAATGCATTACACTATTCATACTACTATCACTATTATTATTATCATTAGTAGTATTACTATTCTTTATTACATTGACATAATCATTTGACAAGTTCATATCAAATAACTTCTGTTCATTTTTATGATACAATTTATAATTATGATGATGAGTAGACATATTCATTTGTTGTAAAGGTATAGACATTGTATCACGATGATATTCAGATGTGGATTGTAGTACTGGACAACTTTGTGGATCATATAGATTGGATTCTTGCTTTAATTGTTGTTGTTGTAACGACGACGACGATGATGGTAATAATGGTCCACTAAATGAATTCAATAGACCTGAAGTTGTTATTCCTATGGATAGTGGGGATGAACTGGAAGGTTGACAAGGTGAAATAGTTGGTGGACACTTTAAATATGTTGAACTACCATTCTCTGCACTGTTATTATTCTTATTATCATTAGTATCAGTAGTAGTTGTCATAGTCATAATAGAAGTGGTATCCATGATATCTTGTTTCTTTAAATCAATACTAGAAGGACGTTTCTTATGTGAATCTAATAAATTACAATGTGATGTATGATTTAAATGAAAACGTAAAGCTAAAACATGTGAGAAACGTTTTTTACAACCATCAATTGGACAACCAATTGGAAAGGTTTCATGCAGTTCATCATTTTCTTCAAAACAAACATGATCATTACTATTCTTATCAGGGTTGATAGTATTATTGCTCATACATGATGGAGTCTGGGGTCGAGAATGATCAGGATTTGGTGGATCACATAAAATTCCATCAGTTTTACCGGGGAAATCTCCAATTTCAGATAATTTTTCAAGATCTGGTAGAATTTCTGATGGACAATCACTTGATGATGTACTACTACCTCGAAATAGTTTACGACTTTTATTATGTAATTTAGATTTTCGATTATTACTACTACTTCGTGTTAGGTGTTCTTCATCAGATACATGAGGAAGACATTGAATTATATCAGTATCTTCTTGAATAACATTATCATTGATTAATTCTTTCTCTGTATCAATTTTTGTTAGATGATGTGTATTGCATCGATTTGTTGTGGAAATAGTTTCAATACCATTACCATTATTATTATTGACTGCAGGTGAATTTGAAGCTCGGCCACGTAGTCGATGTCTTCCATTTGTAGTAGATTTCCAATTACAATCATTTGTTGTAAGATGATTAGTTAAATTTGGTTTATAATTTGTTCCAACTCCAGTTCGACGTTTTGTACGATTACTAGATCGTATGGATGATTTAAATGGAGGTACATAATCTCGTGGACTATAAATATTTTTTGAAAAATACATAAGTCAATATAAGTATCAAAAGAAGAAAAGAAGACATTTCTAGCAAACACTACTTATCTTTGTCATAGTACGATTCGAACTCTTACATACAATGAAATAGGACTTAAAAGAACAATTATTGTAGTATTGTTTATTTGAATCTTCCCATTTATTTTATATAGTTAAGATCATTAGTCAATTGAAACTAGAACACCAGGGAAAACCTGGAAGCACTAGACGGCGGTTTCGCCCTATTATGGGACTCCTCAGTGGCAGTGCGCACCCACGACCCCGCCTCGTGGGATTCGAACCCAGGGCCTACCAGTCTCGTGCCAGAGCACTTAACCGATAGACCACTGAGCCTGCTGGCATCCAACGGTGTTAATGTCTAACCTCAACCAATCTTCCCATTAATGTTTTACGACTGCGACTGGTCAGTCTCTTATTGGCATATGTGCATACTGTGCGTATTGCCTCGATATAGCCTAAATTCATAAGCATGGTAAGCAAAGATAGATAGTGGCTAGCAGTGGAATCCAGTTTGACGAGTGCCACTTCGTCCTATTCGGGACTCGTCAGCTGGATGTACGTGCTTGTGAATTAAGGCAATACGCAAAGTGTGTACATATGCCAATTAGAGACTGACCAGTTGCAGTCGTAAAACATCAATGGGAAGATTCAAACAAACAATACTAAGTGAATTCAAACTTCACCCCATAGCACAAGCTAGTGGCCATCAGGACTCAGTAGCTGAATGGGTAACGTGATGGAGTTTGAAGCGAAAGGTATTGGGTTCGAGTCCCAGAGTGAACATCAACTCAGGTACATCCAGCTGTCGAGTCCCAAATACGACGAAACGCGTGTCAAACTGGATTCTGTTACCAGCCACTATCCATCTTTGCTTATGATATAAATTTGTCTATGAAACATGAACTTAAAAGATAGAGGACATATATAAATTAGACGTTACTCAGTTATATTCAATATCATAAATTGATTGTTTGAATGTAGCAAAATCACCATCCATTAAGTAAATTTACTATTATTCTCATCTTATCAATATCATCTGTCATACATAACAACCTAACGGACATAAGTCAGTCAGTCAGCTACAATGTAGGATATAAATTGTGGCTTAATTGAATGTTTGTTTGGATTAGATTAAGTTTCTAGAAATGACAAGATTGTCATATCAAAACCATTAGTAACTAAGACTAATTGATTGGATAAATCGAATATATATAAGTAATTGATATATAACTTACCATGGTGGAGCAAAATCATGTTGTGTTGCATCTAATAAAGTACCAATATAAGTTCGACCTCTCCATGTCACATTGACAACTAATACTCCTTAGAAAAAGAAACAGAAAGATGAGGTAGAAGAAAAAAAATTAAAAATCATTTTTAGAAAGGGGAACTTTCTTAAACAATGGCTAAGCGTCATGCATACACACACGAAATAAAAACAATTATTTTCAGTATGGGTTATAGAGATGGTTGAATTTTACTGAAATTGTGAATTGATCAACATTAGACTACTACTAAAAACCTGAGAGAATTGGATAACCATTTCATTATAGTATGGGACTCCTCAGAAGTACACATCCACGATCCCGTATGTGAAACTCGAATCCAGGAACTGCGGTCTCGCTCGCCAACCTCTAGACCATTGAGCCAACATCCAAAGGTGTTATTGTTTAACTTCAATCAATCCATAACATTATGTGGTCATCTTTCATTATGTTCAGTGAGTAACTGTCTCACATCTGACACGAATTGGCTCCCTTGGTCACAGTTCCTCACTAGAAATGTGGAAATTTGCTCTCGAAGCTAGTCATTAATGAACAAATGATAACTTTCAGAATGGAGTTGTAGTAGTTGTCGTATTTTATTGAAATCAATGGCAGATAGTTTGCAAGAAATGAATAAAAATATTCAGTTACCAAGATACTTAAAATTGATAAACAATGAGAGACAAAAAATTAGACATAAAGATGAGCGATTCCGAAAATTATCAGAAGGGGGTTTTGTGGAGATTTTAGTGGTTTAAAGGTAGACATTAACATCGTTGGATGCCGGCCGGCTAAGTGATCTAGAGGTTAAGTGCTCTGGCAAGAGACTAGTAGGTCCTGAGTTCGAATCCTGCGAGGCAGAGTCGTGGGTGCGCACTGCTGAGGAGTCCCACAATAGGACGAGTTGGTCGTACAGTGCCTCCAGGTTTTCCATGGTGGTCTAGCTTCAATTGACTCATGATCTCAATATATAAACATTCTAAAAATGTCATAATGAAAGTAGTTAGATGTTTGTGGGAAGAAAAACAGTACGCAACAACAATAACTGAAATATCTACCATATTTTAACATGATTTATGAATTTCTGAAGTTAAATACGAGGATGTTGTTGTGTAATATTAAAGTATTAACTGGATGAATATTCAGTCATACAACCAGAAAATATTCTTCTGCCATATTTCAAACTGTTATATCTGAAGCGTTTCGAATTCACTAGTTAGTGAACGGAACAAAAGACTTTTGACCAGAAACCGATAAGCTATCTATTCTGACGCGTCCCAGATCCAGCTAACTAAAGTAAAAAGTCCAAGTTGGAAGCGAGAAAAATATATTCCATAGCAGCCAGAAGCACAGCAATCGTAAGGGCAAAAAATCAAACGTATATATACAGCAATAAATTGTCCTTGGGCAGCATTGCAAAATAGTGCACTCAAAGATACAATGAACCAATAGCGTTTAAAATATTTTACAAGTGGGAAATTCGACCCGTAGTTGAAAAGAGCGCTTTTGGCGCGAAAACAAAGAAATTCAAATTTTCAAAATAAAATTACAAAATTAAATCATTTACCAAGTAAGTTCTAGGGATTTGACATCCCCAACACAAACCATAACGACTAACACATAAATCTTAACCCCTAACTCTAAATTCGAACCTTAAACAAAATCTTTTGAATAGTAAATTACTTCCATCTGCAAATTATCTACGGAGTACAAATTTTTGTATTCAGATTTAAGCCTTATCTATTTCCGTGTAATAGTTAGTGATATTATCAAGTCCCCTTGACGAAAATAGGTGGAACGGGTTTCGAACCTGTGACCTACTGGTTAATAACTAAGTCATTTAGTCACCAAGTCATTAATCCATGTGCATCATTGATCAATATTATCATTCTATAAAGCACCAATCTAATTACAATTGAAAAGGAAAGTAGAATGAACACTTCAAACGAGTCGATATCGTAATCGGCTTTATCATTTCAACAATAATAACTGCTAGCATCGTCCAATGGCGACTTCAAATCTAAAAAGAGTATGGTTTGATATATCAGTGTTACTGATGTGGAATCATAAAAAGGTGAACATTCATCTAAATGTGAATATAGTCAAATTGATGGATCATGAACAAAATAAAATATATTTATGTATCCATCTTCGTTTTGTCAATATAAGGAGTGAAATTCTTTACGGATTGCCTCGATATCTTCATTAACCTGTTCAACGATTGCGAATTTTATTTATTTGTTGTACAGGTACATACAACTTACTTACGCCTGTTACCACTTGTCGAGGAGCATAGGCCCCTCACCTACATTCTCCATCTACATAACTAACATGTCTTAAATAAGATGAAATGTTCTATCTGCTAGTCACTATTCAACATTAGTAAGACGAAATGTGACCAGTGAAGTCCGATTTATGTCATCTTCCTCAGAAATTGGATATGATTTCACAATTTCGGGGATTCGTCAATGTTAAACATTAACACTGTTGGATGCTATCTCGGTGGTTTACAGTTTAGAAGTTCATGCGCGAGATCAAAGGTCTTAGGTTCGAATCTCGCGAGCAGTATTGTGGATACGCACTATTGAACAATCCTATACTAGGACAAAACGGCCGTCCAGTACTTCCACGTTTTCAATAATGTTCTAACATCACATCAATACATGATCTCAATCAAAAAACTAATTGTACTTTTCACAAATATAAAAACCTATTACAACATATTAACATTCTTCATAGTTGAAATCATGAGTCAATTGAAGCAAGACCATCATGGAAAACCTGGAAGCACTGGATGGCCGTTTCGTCCTGGGTTCGAATCTCGCTCGCGAGGCGGGATCGTGGACGCACACTGCCACTGAGGAGTCCCATAATATAACGAAACTGAAATCTACACAAAACCCTTTCTGATATTAACATTCAACATGAAAATAACTCAACTATTTTATCAATTATGTTTGTGTATAATATCGACTACTTAATTTATATATTCAGTAATAACATTTAGAAGAAAAAAATAGTTTACACACACACACACATAGAGACAGATACATACTACACAATGTACCCAAGTGAACAAACACAAATCAAAGTTACCATGATTTGGATATGTGTATATATAGATACATAGATATGCGCATGATACATACTCGAAAGAGAAAGAATTTTCTCACATGTTTACAATATTTAACCCAAATGGTTGTTACCAGTTCTTCTTATTATTATTATTGACTGACTTTTCTTCGTCTTACATCTATGTATCCATCCATCCACCCACCCACACTAACACCTATACATAAACACACACACACATATAGGTATCATGCAAAATCTGTTACAGACCAATGATTTCCGTTTTACATTAAAATCAAGTTTAAAATATAAATGAAAATTTTCTTTTTTCATTTTGTTTGTTGTTCTAGTCAACATGAATTTAAAAAAACTAACAAAGAACAAAGAAGAAAAGGAATAATAATAATCTTGAAGTTAAAAGTAAATATTATAAAGTTGAGACCGTGAGTCAATTGAAGCTAGACTACCATGGAAAATCTGGAAGAACTGGACGGCCGTTTCGTCCTGTTGATGAACGGTTGCTCAACTTCGTGGATTAGTTGAAGTTAGACATTAACACCGTTGGATGCCAGCTCAGTGGTCTATCAGTTAAGGGCTCTGGCTCGAAACTGGTAGGTCCTGGGTTCGAATCTCGCGAGTGCGGGATCGTGGATGCGCACTGCCACTGGGGAGTCCCATAATAGGATGAAACGCCGTCCAGTGTTTCCAGATTTTCCATGGTGGTCTAGCTTCCATTGATTCACGATCTCAACTCTATAAAATTACTAAAATCTCCACAAAACCCCTTCTGTTAAAAGTAAATATTCAAACGACTCCTGTTTTGAAAGGAGAAATAAAAAGAGGCTAGACAACCATGGAAAAACTGAATTGGCTGTTTCGTCTTATTGTGAGACTCCTCAGAAGTGTGTATTTATGATCTTGCCTTAAGTTGCTCAATTTCTTGGATCGGTTGAAGTTAAACATTAACACCATTGGATGCCAGGTGGCTAAATGATCTAGAGGTTAAGTGTTCGCGCACGAGACTGATAGATCCTGGGTTCGAATCTCGTGAAGTGGGATCACGTATGCACACTAATGAGGAGTCCCTCAATAGGATGAAATGGCCATCCATTGCTTCCAGGTTTTTCATGGTGATCTAGCTTCAATTGATTCATAATCTCAACTATTAAAATTACTATAATATCCACAAAACCCCTTCAGATTTGCATTTGTTCTATGATATAACTAAGATTAAAAGTGCATAGACTAATCATATGTCAACTTTGTTGATTTAAATTGTTATGATATTCACTCGAACACTGGAATATTTTGATTCAATCTCTAGTGAGGTCATTAGCCTGTATTATTGTCAAAGTTCATAGCAATTAATTAGCTTAAATCCACTTAATATTGTTTGTTCGAATCTTCCCGTTGATGTTTAGGACTACAACTGGCTAGTCTCGAATTGGTATATGTGCATACTGTGCGTACTGCCTCGATATAGCCTTCATTCACAAGCATTGTAAGCAAAGATGGATAATGTCTAGCGGTGGAATCCAGCTGACAAGTCCCAAATAGGACGAAACGCGCGTCAAATTGGATTCCACTGGTAGCCATTATCCATCTTTGTTTTCTAACTTCATTTATTATTTTTCCGTCTATGTATTTGTATGTCTATTGATGTATTGGATAAACCAGCTGGTGGTAATGTTGTTCATTCACAGCTTGAAGAAGAAAAAAACAGTAAATAAGTTTTATACCACAGGTTATCATCTCCATTTTAAAATAAGTAACATATACATGCATTATTTATGCATAGGTAAGCGACGTACACATGTATGAGTGTGTGTGTGTGTGAATGTACGTAGTATGTACTTGACAATATCTATTGAAGCATAACCGAAAACATGGTGTGTGTGTGTGGGGGGGGAGAGTGTAATGGAGATTATCTTCATTGTTACTATTATTGTCATATTAATTTGTGGTGTTTTTCGAGGTCAATGAATGTTCTGTCTAAAATACACAAGTGTTAATCTAATTTTTTAAATGAAAACATTTATGTAATAACGTTTATGAAATAAAATGCTGAGGAGTCCCACAATAGGACGAAACGACCGTCCAGTGCTTCCAGGTTTTTCATGATACTCTAGCTTCAATTGACTCATGATTTCAACTATGAAAAATACTGAAATCTCCATAAAACCCCTTCTGATCTATAAAAATGATTAAATAGTGAAAATAAATAAAATAGTTAAATTCATGAGTCGATCTAAGTTAAACCGCCATTGATAACCTGGAAGGACTGGATAGTCGTTTCGTCATAGTACAGGACTCCTCAGCAGTGAGTACCCACACGCGGGACTTGAACCAAGGATCTTCGGTCTCATATGCGAACGCTTAAACTCTAGACCACTGAACAATGTTAATGTCTAGCTACAATTGATCCATGATCTTATTCAACCATTCATCCATTGTCTGAGATGGATAATTGTCACACACCTGACACGGATCGGACTCCATTGGTCACAGTTTCTAACTAGAACCCCAGGAAATTCATCTTGACTAAAATTTTGATTTATAAATTACCTGTTTCCGGGTCATCTAATACTACTACTGAATGCTTTCTAAAATCACGAGAATTATCTTCTAAACCAAGTGTCCTAATCATGATACTTCCATCTGGGTGTTATGACTTAAATTGTATGGATGGTAGCATTTAAGTTGTTTGATTCGAAACTAGTTGGAAATCGATTGACATTTTAAAGCAATCATATGAACTCCATAGCTCAGTGAATAACAAGCCTGTGTGTTTAAAGAGAATGATATTAGGTTCGAGTCCTGATGTGACTATCAACACTAGGGTGAAATGGATCAAATATCCTGAAATAGGATGAAACGCGATTCCTGGATTCTATAACTAACCACAATTCATCTATTTTAGAAACCAATCAAGTATAGTTGATGTGGAACTTGTAACATATGTGCAACAATCGAAGTTACTACATGTCATACCAACACAACTAGAAGATGGTTATTTATTTATTTTATTTAAACACATAAATATTGCTACAAGGAAGCACCAGATACATATGCGCCATACAAATCTGATTTCATTTGTGTCATGGCTGTCATACTGCCCAGATGCACAAACCGAAGCAAGTGGTTTACTTAGGGGGCCACAACCGGAGCCTTTGACCGAAAGATCTGATCCACAAGGCATGGGAGCATCGTGAGGAGATGCAGTCTCATGGTAGTCGGTGACCAACAATTGATTCATACGCCATTTGTTCCTTCACGATACTGGAGCCCATGTGCACCATTGGTTTGGAATCAGGGTTTTCCAACTGTCCTAGGTGGACTTTTTGTGTTCACCAATCCGGTTAAAGCGCCGTACATTCGTTTTTCGTTCTCTCAATTTCGTAAACAACACCTGTAGCACGAGAAGACAATGAGTAGGACTTCCCTGGCAGACTAGAAGATGGGATAAGGGATAGTATCGCATCTAATAGTAAATTAAATATACTTCATTTGGAATAAATGTTACTCAATGTCACCACAATCATGGATATTACAACTTCTGTTTCAATCTGGAATGATGCATTTACCGAAAATATTAGTAATGTTGAATCTAATTAACAAAGTACAATCTATATGGGTGATGCATGTTAGATGATATTGATGTCATGTTATACTAAGTACATCTAGAAAATGTTTAACCTGTTTTTTTTTGGAATCAGAAGGGTCAATCACTAACCAAATCTGTCAGTGATAACATTTGTGTAACTATCACACTAGATCATGAATTTTGATCTTCTGCTATACATAATATTTCATTCTATCATTTTAGTCATTCTTAGTATAGTTGCTACTAAATGATTTCGATTCATTTGATAGTCATCATGGTAATTTCATTTCATCGTGCTAATTTGGTAGATGCGCACTGCTGAGGAGTCCCATAATAGGACGAAACGGTCGTCCAGTGCTTCCAGATTTTCCATGGTGGTCTAGCTTCAATTGACTAACGCTTTCAACTATGAAAATAATTTGGTATTATTATATCTCGAAGAGAATTATGAAGGGTCAGCAAGGTGACACGGGATCGAACCCGTCAGGGAGTACCAGTTCCCTCAAGATTACAGGTACACTTTGCTGACGAGTGCCAAGTAGCACGATACCCAGGTCCAGGGTTTCCTGTTGACCACCTCCAACAACCATCTTATTGGTTAACTAATATTAATCTATAAAAAAACACAATCAAATTCTATTCTCTTCCTTGTCTATAAAACTTTCAAAATTAAACATCAAAAAAAGGAACAATTTATAGTTTCAGTTCAGGGTTTATTTGATTTTGCATCATTTTCATATTCAATACAAAGTGTAACATGAATTGACTGTCTACTATCAGTAGTGTATATCCATATATCCATCCATGTATCCATGCCTCCATCCATCCTTCTCTCTCTTACGATCACTGCCTATCTGAGCATTGTTGTACATACATACACACACACCGTTTATAGATAAACACTCTGAATCAGCTGATTAAAATAAACATGGTTACAATGATAAAACAAGGCGACTGATTAATAAATCAATAAAATGAAAAGACAAATAATTTTCAAACTATTCAAACAGATGGTAAAAGTAAAGAAAGTAAATACTTATGTAAGTGTATCATGTTCCTTTTTGTTCTTCTTCAGGGATTTACATTACATACCTCTCGCTTTATGGATACATGTGAGAGTGTGTATACAACAAGACTAATACTAATAACAATACTACTACTACTAATAATAATAATGATAAGTAATAATTAAACAATCTAACCCTAATTTTTATATACAAAGATAGTGACTGGCAATGGAATTCAGAATGCCCGTTTCGTCCTATTTGGGACTCGTCAGCTGGATGTATCTGATGTTCACCCTGGGACTCGAACCCAGTACCTTCCGCTTCAAACATCATCACGTTATCCACTTAGCTACTGAGTCCTGATAGCTACTTGCTTGTGCAATGGAGTCAAGTTTAAATTCACTTGGTGTTCTTTACTTGTATCTTTCCATTGTTATTTACAACTGCAATTGATCAGTCTCTTCTTAGCATATTGGCATACTGTGCGTATTACCTTGAATTAAGGCCATATCGAGGCAATACACACAGTATGTACATATGCTAATAAGATACTGATCAATTACAGTCCTGATCACCAATGGGAAGATTCAACTAAACAATACCAAGTGAATTCAAGATAAGTTATTTAGGAGATAGACAAACAGACAAACGGTAGAACATGAATATAAATAATGCAATTATACAAAATACAATGGAGTACAAACAACGATACAATTAGATTACTTGTATCACGTATGTATATAGATTCGAATAACCATGGTAATATTATAATGATTGAATCCTTTATAGTAACCTTATCTTTATTAGAAAATAATTTACACTATATAACAGGAGAATAAGATAGTTATCGAATTGAATTCATGAGTCTATGTAAGCCAAACCGCCACTGAAAACTTGGTAGCACTGGACAGATGTCTAGTTCTAGTATGGGACTCTTCGGCAGTGTACACTACACGATCCTATACACGAGACTCGAACAACAGTATCATTATTATTAAACAAAACTATCTACCAGCTAATATTATTCACATCACTTTATCAGCAATTACAAACCACACAAACATGGCATTTCGTTACTTCTAAATCATACCAATAATGGTGAGAAAATAACAAACATCTTTACCAATATTGATAATGATAAACTGAATTTAATAGAAATAAAAAAACTTACCAGTTGTAGTTTCTAACCAAACAATTCCATTTAAACAAATTGTAGTGCCTGGTTCACATGGTCCTAATAAATCTGGTTCAGTTAATGTAGCTTTGGAATTATCTAGTAGAGTATTGACACCGGTACATCGTCGTTCTGGTATAATTGTTGGAACAGTTGTGTTGGTAGTAGTAGTAGTAGTTAACGACGATGACGTCGTATATTGTTGACTAGAAGGAATGAATGATGTTGTTGCTAACTGGGATGACGATGGAGAAGAGGAGAAGGAAAGGGAGGTGGTGATAGGTGATAATGTTGAGGTAGTAGTTGATGATATCATCAATGGCGATTTTACTGAAGATTGTATTGATGATGAAGATGAGAGTAAACTATTCGATCCCAGTTGCGATAACATCACTGTCGTTGTCATCGTCATTGCTAATGGTGGCGGTGGTGGAGATGGTGGTTGGGAACAGGAGAAAGAGGAAGAGGCGGGGGAATGTGAAATAATCCATGTTTCTGGTGGGTGAGTTTTATCCAAATTATTCAACATTTTATTCGATGTAAAAGATGAAGGATTGTTCATACTACTTAATGTCTGACTATTATCATTAGTAGTAGTAGTAGTATTAATAGTGTCAATATTGCGATTGCTTTTAGCAGATGTATTATCACTTTTATTCTTATCAGCAGAAGTAATGACAATGGATGTAGTATCACATAATGAAGGGTCACTAGCTGGTATGGTAGATGGAGTTTCAGCTCTAGTCTCAGTCAACTTTGACTGTGTCGGGAATGACATTAGTGAATCTGATGTAATTGACATATTTGCATTGATCTCACTACATGTATAATAATTATGAGGTGATAATGATGTAGATGAATTTATCGTCATGTTGTCAGTAGTACTAATAGCAGTAGCATCTACAGTATCTGATTTACGACGTGTAATCCCACTTTCATTAATGTTATTATTAGTAGTAGTAGTAGCAATAGTATTAGTGTTGTTATTATTTGAACTAGAGAAATCAGTGAATACAGACAATGGACGTGTACAGGATTGAGCAAGTGGTGAAGAATTGGAACCAGGACTTGAATGATTGAAGGAATTATCACTACGATTAGTATTATTGATTGTAGTAGTAGTATGTAACATTGGACTACTTCTAGCTGAATCAGTAGTGAGCACATTACATCGTTCATCATTCTTTAGAAGAAAAAGACAGAGAATGAATAATAATAATGATAATAGTAATAATAATAGAACAGCATAGAGTCAAGCATAACAAAATTCATATTCAGATAGAGCATGGTTTATCATTAAGTTGTAAATCCCCAATGGGTTCGCTACTATGCACTCCTGAAGAGTTTGATAGTAGGACGAGACGGTCGTCTAAGTTTCCAAAGGTGATCTAGTTCAGGTCATTCCACAATTTAAACCATCAAGATTTTTAAATCTCCACACATGCCATGTATTAATAAGAATATTAAATAATTATTCATTATTTTCAAAGTTAAAAAGCCTCCATAGAATTAATTTTAACAATGGTTTCCTATTTTAATATGGTACGTTTACCCGGGATGAAGTGTCATCTTGATCTCGCTACCTTGGATCCTGTACAACTCTACTTCCAGAATGAGTAAATACTCTACTATGAGACTAGATACAAGTTTGTGCAGTCGGTCATTCGTTATAGTCACAAATAGTCAGTCAATCAGTCTGTCACAACGTAGAACTTCGTACGTACGTACATCAGTTCGAGTTGCCATTACCACATTAGCACAGAAATGCAGTTGTCGATTCAAATCTCATGGTGGTAGAAGTAGTAAGAGTATAAACAGTAATCAGAAAGATTAAGTTTGGAAGATGTTATTCAAGGACTATAATCCAGTGAAATAAATTTGGAAAGAGAAAAAAGGAACATGGAGAATTCAGAAGATTATTATTTATAGAAGGGGTTTTGTGGAGATTTAGTATTTATTATAGTTGAAAGCTTGAGTCAATTGAAGCTAGATCACCATGGAAAACCTGGAAACACTGGACGACCGTTTCGTCCTATTATGGGACTCCTCAGCAATGAGCATCAACGAACCCGCTCTCGCGAGATTCGAACCCAGGACCTACTAGTCTCTTGCCAGAGCACTTAACCTCTAGACCACTGAGCCGGCGTCCACCGGTGTTAATGTCTAACTTCAGCAAGACCCATCTACATTTTTGTAGAAACTGATTCTATGGGTTACTTCCAACCATCTGACGACAAAATATTCTCAAAACATTTGAACTAGTGACCACATGATTGATAAAATTTGATTGGGACTAAAAATGACTAGAGTTTGGACGCTACTGAAAAATTACAGATTTGGTGCGAGAAAATTATGTTGGATTTCCTTTTTCAATGTTTCTGTCTATCATGCATCCTTCTCATCACTCTCATCGTCCTCCTCTAATAAAATAGTAATATACTAATCGACTTATGTTATATACATAAAGGTCAAATTTGTATTTAACCTCTCTTCTACTACACTATTAGGTTATGTCAGGTTGAACTTAATTTAGACACATCAATTTTACTCTCTCGTACCTTGTCTCTCCCTCCCTCTCACTTCATTGATGTTTATTCCACTAAAACACAGATCTGTTATTGAAATAGAATCGCAGAAGAGCAACAACGAAGTATACTTATATAAACACTCAAACTAATAACTGACATAACTGACAAGTCATTGAGTCACAGTTATTTATATTTCCATACATCATATGTCCAAGAGAAATTATTTCTGATATTTTCATAGTTGAGATCATGAGTTCTAGTGAGAAGTAGTGACTAGTCGAGTTCAACAAGGTCTGTTGTGAGATAACAACTCACTGAAGACCATTGGTGAACGGCTGCACAAATTTCGTGGATTGGTTGAAGTTAGACATTAACACCATGGGATGCCAGCTCAGTGGTTTATCGGTTAAGTGCTCTGGCAAGAGACTGGTATGTCCTGGGTCCGAATCTCGCGAGGCGTGACCGTGGATGCACACTGTTGAAGAGTCCCACAATAGGACGAGTTGGCCGTCCAGTTCTTCCAGGTTTTCCATGGTGGTCTAGCTTCAACTGACTCATGATCTCAACTACGAAAATACTGAAATCTTCGCAAAAAACCTCTTTCTGATATTGTTAGGGATGCTGGATCCCGAAAACATTCTGTGAAATCGAATGTTTTTACATGTTATATTTCAAAAAGTTTCTCAGTTTTTTTCTAAGAAGAACGTTGTTACCCTAGTTGTTCATGTGTATTTTCGTTTGTTATTACTTTGTGAGACCTCTTTACCGGGTAATATTCCATATCATTGGCTGAATAAATCATCTCCGAAAGAGAGTTTGTTTCTCTCCAGTTAATGGAGATAATAGAAGAGGATAGGAAATAGTCTCATTCATTGTCACCTGAACTCGAAGTTAAGGAATGTTAAATTACTGCATAAACGTATCAAATGTATGAAATGCTGAACGAATGTAAATACGTAAGTAAAAATGGGATATTTTGTACATAATTAAACTTGGGTAAAAATATTAAAATCAGTATCAGTCGACAATCCCATCAGGAACATGATTCCCACCAAGGTTATATACAAGGCTTCCTGATGAGTACCAATCAAAATGAAGTCAAAATAAATCAAGGCTTCCTGTTGACTGTAACAATCAAATACGTAAAATATTTACTACGAATCAATTATTATCAACTCTGATCGGTATATCGATAATTTTGCCCCAAATGCCCTGGTACGGCCGAGAGTGTGGAGGGGCCGCTCTCCCTCTCCAAATGCTCTCACATGGCCACGCGTATATAGCTTCTACCAGGGAAGTCCAAATCACTGCCTTCTCGTTGTGAGGGGGGCTGTTTACGAAATTGAGAGGACAAAAAACGAATATCTGGCACTTTAACCAGGTTGGTGGACACGGAAAGTCCAACGAGGGGGGTTGGAAAACCCTGATTCCAAACCAATGGTGCACATGGGCTTCAGAATCCTGAAGGAGCAAATGGTGTATGATTTATTTTTATTTATTAATTATTTATTTAAACACATAAATAGTGGTACAAGGAAGCACTAGATAAATATGCGCCACACAAATCAAATGAGATATGTGTGAGGGCTGGGATACTACTTGGCTGCCCGAACCGTAGGAGGTGGCTTTCTTAGGGGGCCACAACCGGGGCCTTTGACCTAAATATCTGATCCACAAGGCAGTGGAGCATCGTGAGGAGATGTAGTCCCATGGTAGCCGGTGTAGCTGGTGTATAAACCTATTTTCGGTCAAAGGTCCCGGTTGTGGCCCCCTAAGAAAGCCACCTCCTACGGTTCGGGCAGCCAAGTAGTATCCCAGCCCTCACACATATCTCATTTGATGTGTGGCGCATATATATCTGGTACCCCTTTGTACCAATATTTATGTGTTTAAATCAATAAATAATCAACAAAAATAAATCGATAATTTTACGACGAGACAATAACTAACTAATTAAAATCACTCAAATATTCATTTTATTCTGTTTTGACAGTTCGAATCCCAAAATCTTAATAGTAATAGAGCAGTAGTATCTTTCACACTCATAGAAAATATAATAACAAAGCCAAATACACTGAAACTATGCATAATTAAATTAATGCTTGTGAATTAAGGCTATATCGAGGCAAAACGCACAATATGCACATATGCCAATTAGAGACTGACCAGTTGTAGTCCTAACAAATCGATGGGAAGATTCAAACAAACAATATTAAGTTGAATTTAAACTTCACCCCATCGCACAAGCAAGTGGCTAACAGGACTCAGTAACTAAATGGATAATGTGATGGCGTTTGAATTGAAAGGTACTGGGTTCGAGTCCCAGAGTAAACATCAACTTTGAGATGCAGGTACATCCAGTTGACGAGTCCCATATAGGACGAAATGGCGCGCGTAAAACTGGATTCCACTGCTAACCACTATCCATCTTTGCTTACTATGCTTAATTAAGATTTCAATACATCATTAACAAAATCTAGTCAAGTAGATATGAATGAAGCAAATGGGATTATGGAGGTGGAGGGGGGGAAACAATTGGATGGAGAACAAACAGTTTCCTGTGTTGTTATTGTTCACTTTTTGTATCATTCCCTGTATTTTTTTTATCAGTATGATATTAATTTTTACGATAATTAAGTATAGTTAGTGAACTGTCAAATTGCGAATAATAATAATAATAATAATAATAATAATAATAATAATAATAATAATAATAATAATGGTACGCACACACCCACACACACATACACCAGGGGAAGAAAAGAAGGTCAACAAGACTAAGTACCAAGACGAAAGGACAAAGAGTGAAAGATAGAACATTAAAAGGAATCTCCACTCCTGATACAAACACACATACAAACATTGCCCATTAGATTTTCTCTTCCTACTACATATACACATATATACAGATACTCGAATTCTCTCTGTGTATATATGTGTAAAGGATGTATGGAGAATGGATGCCTGTATGTATGCTTCATCATGATTGATAGTAATATTAATTAACAGTTGTAAGCAGATGGATTGAAGCCATATGGTATATGTTATAATATAAAATATTTTATTTACTTTAACACATAAACATTTATTCAAGGAGGCGCTAAATATATATGTAATATACCTCGTCATTCGATTTGTACGAGGGCTGGGATACTGTCCGAATAGCCAAACCAAAGCAGGTGGTGAACCATATCTCGAGTATTTGACCCAAAGGTCTAATCCACAGGGCAGTGGAGCAACGTTAAGAGATGCAGACTCACAGTAGCTAGTGAGCAACATAAAGTTCATACTTCATTTGTTCTATCAGGATCATGGAACCCATGTGCACCATTGGTTTGGAATCAGAGCTGCCCGACTCCCCTAAGTGGATCCCCCGTATCTACTAACTTGTTTAGGGTCTAGACATTCGCTTTTCATCCTCTCAATTTCATAAACAACATTTCGGTGAAGGAAAAACAGTGAGTAGGACTTCCCTGGTTGAGGCTGCATACGTGTCACTAGGTGACAACATTTCGAAAGGAATACAGGACTCTCCTCACCCCCGACAGTATCACAGCATTTGGGGTCAGACATATATAGATACATATTTACAAATATGTAAATAACTTCATATACCATTTTAAAATGGATTAGTATATATCAAATATTTATATAT